ACCTCCTCTTTTCATTGCAATTCTCTCATAAAATTGTATTTTGCTTGGAAACACTGCAAGCAAATTATGGTCAGAGCTGATGTTTGTCATAATGAAAATGTGAAGGGTATGATTTTCATTTAAGGGTTGTACTTTCAGAAGTGTCCAGGATATTTAGGCAGAACCACCCTGCCTTGCTGAACATTTGAGGTGGGATTATTCTTACCAACCAAATAAAAGCATACACAATTCTGTTTAGATTCCCATGAAAATTCTCACAGTGGTAAAATTTTTCCATCTTTTCCTGAGAGAATTTTGCCCAATAGTCTTCTTGAAATATGAATTATTACATTGAAAATTACATATTTGACTTAATACCATAATTTACAAAGCTTAATGAATATGTTTCACAATAGCACTTTGCTTCATTAAAAAAATTAACAAACACACTTTGGGAGGCCGAGGCAGGCAGATCATGAGGTCAGGAGATCAAGACCATCCTGGCTAACATGGTGAAACTCTGTCTCTATTAAAAATACAAAAAACTAGTCAGATGTGGTGATGCACAACTGTAATCCCAGATACTCGGGAGGCTGAGGCAGGAGAATCGCTTGAACCCGGGAGGTGGAGGTTGCAGTGAGCCAAGATCATGCCACTGCACTCCAGCCTTAGTGACAGAGAGACACCATCTCAAAGACAAAAAACAAAACAGCAACAACAAAACATTAACAAACAATTTGCTGTGATTTGAATGTTTATCTCCTCTAAAACTTACATTGAGATTTAATTGATATGGGGTTTTTAAGAAGTGACTAGGTCATAAGGGCTTTTTCCTCATGAATGGATTAATGACATTATCAGAGAAGTGGGTTAGTTATTATAAAACTGAGTTTGTTATAAAAGTGAGTTTGGCCCTATTTCCTCTCTCTGTCTTGAGTGCTGGCTTCTGCCTTTCACCCTTCTGCCACGAAATGACCCTCACTAGGTGCTGGTGCCATGCTATTGGACTTTCCAGACTCCAGAACCATAAGAAATAAATTTCTTTATGAATTACTCAATGTGTGGTATTCTGTTATAGCAGCAAAATTAACTAAGGTATAAAATTGGTACCATTAAGTGGGGTTATTGTTATAACAAATACCTGAAAATGTGGAAGCAGGTTTGGAATTGGGTGATAGGTAGAGGCTAAAAGAGTCTGGAGGAGCTGGCTAGAAAAAGCTTGTATTGTTGTAAGTGGAAAGTTAAAGACAATTCTGGTGAGGGTCTGAAGAAGTGAATGCTAGGGGAAGTCAGAATTTTCTTAGAGATTACTTAAGGGTTGTGACCAAAATGTTGATAAAAATATGAATAGTAAAGGTGATTCTGAAGAAGTCTCAGGTGTAACTAAAGAAGAAGGTATTGGAAACTAGAGCCAAGACAATCTCTATTATAAAACAGCAAAGATATTGGATGAACAATATCCACGTCTAAGGACTTTATGGAAGGTGAAGTTTAAGAGTGGCAAACTAGGATATGTGATAGAAGAACTGTCTAACCAGCAAAGCCTTTAGGCTGCTGCGTGGCTACTTTTAACCACTTATAATAAGATGCTAGAGGAAATGAATAATGTAGAGACATAATTTATAGTTGAAGGGGAAGTAGAAAATAAAAATTTGAAAAATTTGCAGCCTGGCCATGTAAAGAACAAAAAAGCGTTCAATGATGTGTCCACACAATCATTCACAAAAGAGATTTCCAAGAACAGAAGGAAGCTGGATGCTATTCATCATGACCATTGGAGAAAGACTCTGAAGGTATTTCAGGATTCTTTGAGGCTGCCCCTCCCATCCCAGGCTCAGAGCTCTAAGAGGGCAGAGGTTTTGGGAGACAGGTTCTGGGTGCCCTCCAGGCATTTATTGCCCAGAAGTGCTTCAAGTCTCTGCTTTCTGTATCCCAATGTAGTGCTCCTTGGCTGCCCCAGATAGTGGCAGGAAGCAGTCAAATGCCTAGGCAGATAGGGGCGGGTCCCTTGTGAAACCCAACCTTCGAGCTGAAGACAGTTTAAAGCCTGAAAACCAAGCTACGAGTCTTGGATAAATCCACAGACTGGATTGAGAACGTCTCTTCCTATTTGGCATGCTTTCCTCTAATTAATCCCCACCCTTCACCTGTGTTACATATAACTACCCTTCCCTAATTGTTTTTTTGCACTGTCATGTCCATCTTTGAGGAGTGCCTTTGTTTTAGCCCTTTTTCCATACTCACAAACCAATCAGCACACACTCCCCCATTCTGAGCCCATAAAAGCCTAGTACTCAGCCATACTTGGGGGCTACTTGCCTTCAGGTTGGGGGGACTACCCAACTCCAGGAAAGGTGCTGCTGTCTTTGGGTTTCCTCTCCACAGAGAGCTGTCACTCAATAAAACTATCCACCCTGCTTGCCCTCTGGTTGTCAGCATAACCTCATTCTTCTTGGATGTGGGACAAGAACTCGGGACCCTCTGAACGTGGGTGTGAGAAAGACTGTAACACTGTAGCCCTCTGTCCTCCACCAGGTGGCCACTCCAAGTGACAGGAAGTAGCAGTGGGGCTGGGCACACCCAGGAGCTGTTGGTCTGAGTGGAGTGATGGGACTGAAAGAGCTGTTAACATGCCCTTATCCACTGAGCTGTGGATGGGGGGAATAATACGCCCTGTGGGGCTCTGGGATCACTGATGTCTGTGAAGTTTTTGGGCGCCACCACATTCCCTTCATCCAGATGCCAGCACCCAAGGCAGAAGCAGGTCATGGCATGCCCGGCTCAGCCACATCCCTGGCCCATGCCTGGCCTCATCAGATCATGCAAATTCAGGCCGAAGCACAAGCCAAGAGCAGCCTGCTGGGCCCAGTGGGCAGGCTACCTCCTATAGCAAGCCTGGAGCCTAGTGAGGCCCTGGGCAGGGTGTCACTAGCTGCAGAGGTCTTCAGCTGGTGAAGTAGCACCAAAAAAATCCTGCATCTCTGTCATTCCAGAAAAGGCAAGTGGTAAGCCTTCGTGGCACCCATGTGGTGCTAATTCTGTAGGGACACAGAATACAAGAGCTGTGGGGGCATGGGTTTCTCTAGCTAGATTTCAAAGAATGTTGCAAATAGCTTAGGTATCTAGGCCAAAACTTTCCACAGGCACAGAGTAAAGCCATCACAGAGAGTTTGCACTAGGGCAGTGCCTAGTGGAGCCATAGATGCGGCACCACCCCTGAGGCCACAGAACTGTAGAGCTGCTAGCATGCAATGCCACCATGGGAGAGATAAAGGCACAAGACTCCAATTCTAGAAAGCTGAAGTGTGAGCTGAGCCCAGCAAAGCCATGGGAACAGGGCTGCCGAAGACCTTGGGGGCCCAGTGTATTCATGATTTGGAAGTGCACTGATGCAGTCAGTGAAGATTATTCTCCAGCCTTAAGACTTAATGTTGTTTTCTCTGTTGGGTTTTGGACTTCCTTGGGATCATTTACTCCTTTTTTCTCGACTATTTCTTTTATTTTTGGAATGGGGATGTCTATTCTGTGCCTATACCACCATTTTATTTTGGAAGCATATAACTTGTTTTGATTTCATAGGCTCACAACTGGAGGAAATTTGCCTTAGGGTTAATCATGTCTTCAGTCTCACCCATATTGGATTTAGAGGAAACTGGACTTTGAACTTTTGAGTTAGTGATGAAAGAAGTTAAGATTTTGGAGGCTATTGGGATGGAATGAATGTATCTTGTATGTGGGAAGAACATGAGTTTTGGAAGGCCAAGGGTGGAATGCTATGGTTTGAGTGTTTGTTGTCTCCAAAACCCATGTTGAGATTTAATTGATGTGGAATTTTTTAAGAGGTGTTGAAGTCACGAAGGATCCGCCCTCATAAATGGATTAATGCCATTATTTCAGGAGTGGGTTCATTATCATGAGACCAGATTTGTTATAAAAGTGAGTTCAGCCTGATTCTCTCTCTCTGTCTTGCATGCTGGCTTCTGCCTTTCACCCTTCCACCATGGTGTGACCCTTGCCAGTTGCTAGTGCCATTCTCTTGGATGTTCCAGCCTCCGGAACCATGAGAAATGCATTTCTTTTCTTTACAAATTACCCAGTCTGTGGTATTCTGTTATAGCAGCAGAAAACAGACTAAGACAGTTATTACATTGTGTTACAGTTTGCAAACAACAGAAGAGGATTCAAAGAAGCATAATACTTGAAATGTATATTATAGCCAAGGAGCTTTGATAGGGACCAGAATGTATAGATGCAAAAGACTTACAAAGGGAGAATGACTGCGCAATTGGCAATGTTATTTAAATGGTAGCAAAATAAAGAGTTCAAAAAATGAGGACAATATATGTGCAGATGAAAGTTCTTAAAGAAGCTTTATCAAAGACATAGAATAGACAAATTCACTTTCATATCCTTTTCTGGACTCCCGTGGTGCTTTTTTTTTTTTTTTTAAATTACGGAACTCTCAGAACAGTCATATATTGAATTTGATTATTGTGTGTCTTCTCGATTCTCTGAAATCATCAGCTTCAGGAGAACAGAAGCTGGGGCTACCCATCTGTGTATCTCCAAACAAATAGTGCAGTGTCTGCTACAGAGAAAATTTCTACAGTGGTTAGTTGGGGAGAAAGTGGCAATTACTCATGGTGTTACTTTCTTATGGACACTGGGCAAAAGTGCCCACTATAATGATATAAAAGGAAAACCAGGCCGAGTGCAGTGGCTCCCACCTGTAATTCCAGCACTTTGGGAGGCCAAGGTGGGCGGATCATTTGAAGTCAGGAGTTTGAGACCAGCCTGACCAACATGGTGAACCCCCAGTCTCTACTAAAAACACACGAAAAAATTAGCAGTGTATGGTGGTGCACCCCTGTAGTCCCAGCTACTCGGGAGGCTGAGGCAGGAGAATCACTTGAACTCGGGAAGCAGAGGTTGCAGTGAGCCGAGATCGTGCCAGTGCACTCCAGCCTGGGTGACAGAGGGAGAATCCATCTCAAAATAAATAAATAAAATAAAAATAAAAGGAAAACAAGACACCAAAGAATTTATTGTATTGGATAGTGTCAACAGATGAGGCACAATCAGTTGTAGATCCACACATGTGACTCAACATCATCCAAATTGTTTTGCACTATAACAAAATCCAATTGCTTTTGTCCCCTTCTAGAGTTATAAAGGATAAAAATTTGTCCTGGATGCCCACTTAAAATCATTATTTAGTTTTATTCTCCCATCCACATTCTTAAAATGACTAAATTCAAAATAATTTAACAGCCACATTAAAAACTAAATCAAAATCCGCAAGTCAACGCCTGCATCTCTTTCTTCATGGCCTAATTCACAACCTCTTTTGAGTCCGGAATTTACTCCAGGGCAATTCTGCAATGATTCTGTACTTAATGGTAGTTTGAGATCATTATTCATGCTCATGAATTGCATTGAATTTACACATAAATTGTACTTGTCTAATTTTCTAATTATTGAGAAGAGGTAATCTGGCGACATCTTAATCTAGGAAAAACATCTCAAACCCTTTTGCACACGTTTTACATTTGGCATAACCTAAAACACATTTCCCCACAAAACTTTTTCCCTTAACTCTTAAGCCCCTGAGTATTTCAATGGAAACACAATACTTTTTATCTGGATTCATTTACACTCTCATTTACTCATCAGCATGGTGTTTTGTAAGAGATATTTAATATTCTCCAAGAGCCCTTTTTTCTCTTGCACATTTCAAAGTTTTTCCTGTAGGAAACACTACGTTCCAAGCCATAAATTGAATCTGAATCCAGAAAACAGGAGTTGGGGGAAGCCATAAATTCCAAATGAGTTCCAAGTGGCACTGATTTTAACTGCCCATTATGTGTATAATGTGGTTACCGAAATGAGAACTTAGTGCACTGAGTGAAGAAGACCTTTTACATTTGGTGGCATTAAGTTTGCACTAGTGCAGATGCTTAGGAAAGAGGAACGCTTATCTTCCCTCTGACTGTGTTGACTGAGGAAAAAGCTTATTTTTCAGGAAACAGGTGTCACAACTGACAAATCCTCTCTGGGAGTAATCAGCTTTCCACAGAGTGACTTTCTCCTACTGGAAGGCAAGGGCCAACACGATGAGTAAGCTGCCTGTCACAGTGGCTGAGGGGTGCTCCCACTCAGGAGGCACTAGACAGTACTATAGCAGCCCTAACCCTTCCTGCACCTCATTCAGGATGAGTGGATTTCTTTTCATTGCAGGTATTGAAAACCAGCTTCAGTGAGTTATTTTTTAAATACTTTTTTTGGAAGGATACAAGAGCCTTCCTTAGAATTCAAGGAAAAATGGAAAATCCAGCTTCTTAAGACAGATGGCCAAGGGGACAGTGTCAAGGAGGCTGGGTAGGCACTCAGACAATGTCTAACAATACTAACCAGTGCACACTAATAATTCACCAACTGACCACCCTCCCAACACTTTCCTTACTACCTAGCTCCTGGCCTGCTCTCTATATTCTTCTTCTCTTCAAGAAGGAGTTTGTGGCCACCCTATTTTCTTTAGTTTTAAAAATTACCTTAATTCCTATAACTGGTTATTCGTCTGTAGAGAGTTGACCATATTATTGTTACTTACAGATTTTACATTAAAAACTTACTCTTACATAATTGTTCATGGTGTTCATGGTGTCTTCTGAGACACCAGGGTTTTTTAAGTTATCAGTTTCTGTAACTGACTCACTCTGGTCATGAAAGATGGGCCTTTGTGTACCACAGTATGAATCCAAATATTCCAACCTGAATGCTTATAATTGTTGGATCTGTGTGTGCATGTGTGTGTGTGTGTGCGTGAGACAAGCACATCCCGACACCTGAGAAACCTGGCTCAAAACAGATAAGCTGATTTCTGTCTTTTAAATATGTATTTGTTTATTTACAGACAGGGTCTCACTCTGTCACCTAGCATGGACTGCAGTGGTGGGATCATAGCTCACTGCAGCTTTGGATTCCTGGGCTCAGACGATCCACCCAACTCCCAGTTCAGCCTCCCTAGTAGCTAGGACTACAGGCACATGCCACCTTGCCTGTTTTTATTTTTATTTTTTTATTTTTTTATTTTTTTTTAGGTAGAGATTGGGTCTCATTATGTGGCCCAGGCTGGCTTCTTTTAAATAATTTAATTTCTAAACAAAAACACACTTTAAAAGTAATTGGTCAATACATTTCCCCAAATACCTGTCTGCGAAACTAACATAATTGTTACCTAATGTATAAAGTCATAAATTTACCTTTTAAAAAAATTAACGGGATATTTTCAAAAATTGTGGATGGGAAGTCAGTCTATTTGAACTATTTACATCCATGCGTTTTAAATCTGGTAAATTTCTGCTGGAATTTCTAGGTAGCCAAATGATGCTGAAGGCAAGGTAAAACTTACTCTTTGCAACCCAGACCTTGTAAAAATCTTATCCTACTTCTAAGAAGCAGATCTATCCAAGAACTGCAAATAAAATGCAGCCTTGTTAAAGGCAGATCCTCCAGCCACGCTATTTATTGGCCAGCTCACCAATATGAATCCAAAGTGCTCGTTTTCAGGAGTCGTCATGTCCACATTCTTAAAGTTGAAAAGTCCTTGTAGACAGGAAAGTCACTAGTGTGTTCTTTCTCTTTTCTCTGATTTTACTGAGTCAAAAGAAAAACCTCTAAACAGAGCTTGCTTTAATCATCTGCCAAACACGTGGGTCCAAGGTTTTCCTCCATGGGGAGGAGGTCTCCCAGCCAGCCCGAGGGAATAACGTTACCCACAAGGAGCAGACAGTACACTTCAGCAAGCACCTTCTTCTCAGGTATACACAGGCTCACATTTTTTAACATCGAGAAAGACAGTATTTGAGAAACAGAAGCATCGACAGCAAAGAAGTGTGCAATTGGTAGAGGGCATTGGGCAATATAGTATCTCATCTATTCTCAATACGGTGCCACAGTTTCCCACAAATTAACACAGGTCTGAAAGAAATCAGGTTGTGGTCAAATAAGAATTTGAATTTAAAGTGAATTAAAATGTATTTCTTGCCAATTATGGCTTTTTGCATAGGAGCTTTAAAAAAGATAATGCGGTTTGAAACTGCTTACTATCATAAAACAATCAAGTGAAGGGGTCTTTAGAGAGACATCAGCACTGCACCCTCGTTTAACAGATGAGGGGTCTAGAGAATTGAGTTTCCCAAATGGCATGATTGTTATGTGGCAGATTTCAGGCTAGAATTGGACTTTATAATTTCCAATGGTTTTCTCCAGTTTCCTTGGAATTAAAGTGTGAATTCTGATTTGAGGATTGATAAAAGCCAATGGGCTATTTCACCATTGATGCTGTCTGTGTACTCTTTGTGTACTGAGATTTCATGGAGGTCATGAAGAAGTGGAAGAGAATTTCTGCCCTAACTAATGTGTGAACTAAATCACAATAACAGGAACCATCACCCACAGAAAGTGTGACTCTAGATAATGCTTTGCATTAAACGGTATGAATAAATCTCATTAGTGCTTTATATGTACTTCTATTTGAATATGAAGAATAGTTAAATATGTGTACAACTAACCATGGAAAAAGGAAGTCATTTTCTCAGGCTTAGTTTCCTTACCTGTATTATTGGGAAAATACCAGCTACTTGTGATAAGGAAGTTTAATGAGGTAACTTGTGCACGGCATCTAGAACTGTGCCAGGCACCCAGTATGTACTTCATGAATGTTGATTTCCTTGAGGAATATTAAAATCCTTCTACCTTTTGTGACTTCAGGTCCATTTGAATGAGATAGGACAAAAATTCACTTGTACACAAATAGCCTAGAAATAAATTTGAGGACAGTGGTTGAGAATAAGCATTCAGTTCTTACTTTTCTTTTTCCTTCTCACATAACCACACAAATTCAGATCTACAGCCCGTTATGTGCCAGCCTTTTATGAGGCTGGCTCTCAGCTTCATTGGATAAAAACATTCACTCCATGTTCTTCAGTTCTTCCTTCGAACACCCACTGCCCTGGGTTGAATCGCATCTCCCCAAATTCATGTCCACCAGCAACTTGTAAACGTGATCTTATTTGGAAATAGGGTCTTTGCAGAAGTCATCAAGTTAAGATGAGGTCGTGTTCGATTTACTTGGGCCCTAAATTCAATATGGTTCTTGTCTTCCTAAGAAGAGAGAATAGAAATACAGAAGGGACAGGGGGAAGACAGCTATGGGAAGACAAAGACAGATATTTGGATTTATGCTGCTACAAGCTACGAAGTGCCAAGGATTGCTGGCAACTACCAGGAGAGGCAAGGAAGGATTCTCTCCTAGAAGTTCCAGAGAGAGCATGGCCCTGCTCACTCCTGGACGTCAGACTTCTAGGCTTCAGAACTGTTGTTTTAGGCTATGCCTAAATTTTGTGATGATGTGTTACAGTAATCCCTGCATACAAATGCACCTGCTCACAGGAAGGTCCCAGAGTTTGTCAATGACTATATAGCCCATCCTCTGCACCATACCAGTTAGACAGAAATTCCCTTAGTAACCCTCATTCCAGCCTAAATATAGCATCTGGATTTCTGTAATCTACACCATCCCTGGTATTTTCTTTAGAGAAAGAATGTTGAAAAGTGAGGTCACCTCCAGCATCCTTTCCAAGGGCCCAGGCTTATCTTCTCCTCTTGAATGTCACCACACAGGCTCTCTCTGGGCTCAAACAAGTTCCTGGCCCTAATGAAGCAGAGAACTGCAAAATCCAGAAGACCCTGGAGAAATATCATTAGTGAGCAATTCATGGCAACTGGGAATTTCAGGCAGGAAAATGGTTATGGTTAATTCACCTTGTGGATATTAAAATGGGTTTTAGGATTTGGGACTTCCCTATCTGAACTTCCCCACTGACCCCATCCTACAGTGCATGTGCATAAGACATGCTGTGAGAAGTGGTTTCTATTCACTGGAGTGCATTTCACCTCCACAGGATTTTTCAGTTAATGTTGGACTAAGCATGGATGTTTGGACTTAGGTAAGTGTGACATATTTGGCTTCATTTGTAGTGTTAACTTTGGAATGCAAAGGGTAGTGTATCAAAATATAAAATAAACATCTTCAAGGTGTTTTTGTGGATTCTTTCATACTGCAAAAGAAAAACCATTTGCCTTCTGGGGAATTGAACTAAATTATAATCTACTCTTTAAGACTACAATGCTGAAAACAAAAATATGAAGGAAATTAAAACCTCTTATTATTACATTGATTCATAAAAACGTTGTTACTGGCAATTGATTGGGACTTGAAGCCTTCTTCCAGAAAAAAAGGACTTGACTGTCAGACCTGTATTAGGTTCCAAACCTCAATGCCATGCATTTGTACTATTAAAAATTGTTTCAATGACAAAAAAAGAAAAAAAATAAATTAAAAAACCTCTTCAGAATTTACTGAAAGTAAAAGAGGTATTCATACATAAATATATAAATATTAATCAGTATATTTTGTTGGGCTTTTCCATTCCAAATGTCACTCTATTGATAGACTGTTGCAATAATCTTCAAATGGAGTCTCTGTCTTTCTTCATCCAAACTGTTTTTTCAACAAACAAAGCTGTGTGTAGCTCTGAGCTGTAATGGAAAATTCAAAATTGTAGAAAGCAAGACTTTGATGTTTGAAAACTCTTTTTTCTTTAAAGGACAAACATTCATATGCACACACACACACAGACAAACACACACAAATTTAGGATAATATGTAAAAGGACTGTGGATATGAAGAAAAATGATCAATTAATCAGTTAATTTTTCATGACAGGGCTAGATCAGTCTTCAAAGACAAATGAGGAGATATTTGGGCTGGTCTTAGAAAATGATCAGGAGAGAGAGAGAGAGAGAGAGAGAGACACACACACACACACACACACACACACACACACACACAGAGAGAGAGAGAGAAACTAGGGGTCTTAAACTCAAGTGCTATTTTGCAAGCACTGTTTTCAGACCTAATGAATCTATCTGTAGCATGACTTTCTCCATGTCACTTGTCGTGTCACTGTCGGCCCTAGCTCCTCACTCATTGCTTCTACAGTGAAGTTTTGACATTTTAGGTAGAACTTCAGGCCCTCTATAATTATATTTCAACTTTATTTCTGTGAGTTTCCTCTGCTCCATGCAGAATATTTCCCAGGACATTGCTTCCATGGCTGCAGGCTTTCCCAGTCCTCCTTCTTCCACACTTCTCATCCCCACTGCCACTGCCAACATTTCAAAGCCCAGGTTGGCATCACCTCCTTCAGAAAGTCTCCTTTTTTTCAGCTAGAGGTATTCTTCACGTTTCCAAATCCCCAAAGCACTTCACCTATACCTCTGTCATGAGGTGTGATGGATTGCATTATATTTCCAAATATTTGCTGCTCTCCCCACGTGCCAATCCTGGTAGCCCCTCTCTGGTGCCCCACTGATATCAGACATGGCCAGTGACCTCCTGTGGCTGTGAAATGGAATGTGAGAAGAAGTGATGTGGGTCACTTGTGTGCAAGAGCTTTCTGTGCCGCTCCATGCGGTGCTGCTGCCTTGAGGACGAAGTGTCTCAGAAAGGGCTGTTTCTTCTCTCTGAGTCCAGAAATGATGGCAACGGGGAACTCACCCATGATGGACTATTACTGCAGAAGAATTGTTGAAAGTCACTGAGAACTTGTGGTTGTGTTATCAAAGCATAGTCTATTGTAAGAGGATGTATACAGCAGGTCTCATACTCTACCTTAAATGATCAACCTTTGCATATGTGTCTTTTCTCCCAAGTAGGATATTAACTTCCTATAGAATCTATGTGGGATTCATCACTGAATTTATCACTCCCATCACAGGGTCTGGCATTCAGTAGCTGCTTACCAAATACTTATTGACTCATATAATAAATGAGTGTGTGGTTTCAGGAAGTGTGTGTGGGCATGCACTGGTGTGAGTATGCAAGGTGGGGGCAGGCAGTGATAAAGGGTGAACCACTTATTTTCTAGCCTTAGCTAGGTCAGACTTTTTTCTTAATGGTTCTCTACTCTGCTGGGGTACATTACGAATCAGCTAGTTGGAAATTTATTTTTAATTTAGAGATTAGGTTTGTAGTCTTCAGGATAAAGAGCAGAGGATATTACTTCAAGATGACAGGCTATGTAAGGGTATAAACAAAAAGTTAGATTAACAAAGTGGTATATTATAATATTATGATATTCTGAATGACAAAGTAATAGACGTGGCGAGGATTCCAAGGAATAACTAATCTGCAGCTCCTTTCAAGGACACCTGGGAAGACACCAGGGGATAGATGTGCAAGAAGATTCTTTAGGCCTCCTAGGAGCAATGGTGTAGAACGGTGCTTCTTTAATCTTCATGTCCTTACTGAAATGCAGTTTCCCTTAGGGCATATTGGTGGGGAGGCACTGACATAACACATTCCTAAGAAGTTCTCAGGTGCTCCTGCTGGCCTTTGGACCACCCTTTTAGTAGCAAAGTATTGAAGACTTTTGGATTGAGTCAGCCATAGGACACTATGGTTGATACCTGCTAGCAAAGAGAAAAGCAGGCAGTCAGTGCCTGATGGGCATGTGGGACGCAGCTCGCCCTGAGAATAGTGGGGAAAGTTTATGCTACTGAGCTTTTCTCCAAGTCAAAAGGCAGTACTTGGTGCCCAGGGGCCATCAGAGCTAAGAGGTTTAGAGCACCTAGATTAGAATCCAGAAGTCTTGGGTATCAAATTATAGCTCTTCAATCTAATGAATGTTGAACAGTTTCTTAACCTCTCTGAGCCTTCATTTTCTAATTTGTAAAGAGAGATAATATTAGAAAGTAGCCCAGATACTAGAGGGGAGTGAGTCCTTCAAAATCTCAACAGCAGGATACAGATGTTAAAAGAGGTCTCTTCCTACCACAGTTTTGACCTGGGTGTGAACACAAGAGAAATTAGATGCCAAAGTGAATGTCAGGTAGATCCCCACTTGAAAAATTTACAAAGAGATATTTTGTAAAGTGGTTGCTGATTTTTAACTCCTCTCATTGGCTTCAAATAAAGCAAAAATGGAGAACAGAGAAGAAGGGAGTATTTGAAAAAAGTTTTCTTTGGGAAGAGCTAGTGCAGTGCCATAAGTATCTCCTGCCAGAGGGTGTGAGGGGTAGGGATGGGTGTTACCCCATTCATCATGAGCCCAGTGAGAGGCTTCCATGGGGTGGCTGGAGAGCTTGAAACATGTCCCCTACATTTGAGAGACATGGAGGAGTTGTGCTTAATGATGAGAAAGTTGATGATGGTGACAGGTTGTAGACTGCCGTGATGGATCCCGCTTGTGATCCCAACACTTGTTGGGTCAAGGGGTGCTTGTTTGTTTCCCATGGAGCATGGTTCATTTCCTAAAGAGATAAAGAGATACACAGAAATAGAGAGAGAGCAAGGTCAGGCATGTGGCCATTTTGGGTGCCACCCATAAGACAGTGAAGAAACTCAACAGTAAGGAGCTGAGGCTTATCATGAGATTCCTAGGATTTACCACTTGGAATAGGGTACACCATTCAGGCTCAAGGCAACAACACAAATGGTCTTTGGTGATAGAAACACCAGAGAACAAAGGAAGTACCTACAAGAGAAGGAGTGAGCCTTATTTATATGCCAGGCACAGGGTGCAAAGTCAGCCCTGATCAGTATTTGTCTATGAAGCCTTTCATTTTCTCTTTCTATGCCATTCTCTGACCTGATCAGAAAACACTTGGCAGGCACAGGGGCAGTGGGGAGGGAAGCGTCAGTAGGAGAAAGAAGAACCTACCACCTTCCTTAGGGCTGCAGCTCTCAAGATGAGCGAGGGGAGACCTGACATTGAATAAAGTCTAGTGTGTAGATTAAATCTTGGTGTAGACATTTTGACTTCAGAATCAAGACTTTTAAAGTTATCACTTAACATCTATTACCTGACTATTATGTAGGGTTGAGCAGGAATTTATCCATTTCCTCTAGATTTTCTAGTTTATTTGCAAAGAGGTGTTTATAGTATTCTGTGATGGTAGTTTGTATTTCTCTGGGATCAGTGGTGATATCCCCTTTATTGCATCTATTTGATTCTTCTCTCTTGTCTTCTTTATTAGTCTTGCTAGTGGTCTACATATTTTGTTGATCTTTTCAAAAAAACAGCTCCTGGATTCATTAATTTTTTTGAAGGGTTTTTTGTGTGTCTGTCTCCTTCAGTTCTGCTCTGATCTTAGTTATTTCTTACCTTCTGCTAGATGTTAAATGTGTTTGCTCTTGCTTCTCCAGTTCTTTTAATTGTGATGTTAGGGTGTTGATATTAGATCTTTCCTGCTTCCTCTTGTGGGCATTTAGTGCTATAAATTTCCCTGTACACACTTCTTTAAATGTGTCCCAGAGATTCTGGTATGTTGTGTCTTTGTTCTCATTGGTTTCAAAGAACATCTTTGTTTCTGCCTTCATTTCATTATTTACCCAGTAGTCATTCAGGAACAGGTTGTTAAGTTTCCATGTAGTTGTGCAATTTTGAGTGAGTTTCTTAATCCTGAGTTCTAGATTGATTGCACTGTGGTCTCAGAGACAGTTTGTTATAATTTCTGGTATTTTACATTTGCTGAGGAGTACTTTACTTCCAACTATATGGTCAATTTTGGAATAAGCGTGATGTGTTGCTGAGAAAAATGTATATTCTGTTGATCTGGGGTGGAGAGTTCTGTAGATGTCTATTAGGTCTGCTTGGTGCAGAGCTGTGTTCAAGTCCTGGATATCCTTCTTAACTTTCTGTCTCATTGGTCTGTCTAATATTGACAGTGGGGTGTTAAAGTCTCCTATTATTATTGTGTGGGAGTCTAAGTCTCTTTGTAGGTCTCTAAGGACTTGCTTTATGAATCTGGGTGCTCCTGTATTTAGGATAGTTAGCTCTTCTTGTTGAATTGATCCCTTTACCATCATGCAATGGCGTTCTTTGTCTCTTTTGATCTTTGTTGGTTTAAAGTCTGTTTTATCAGAGACTAGGATTGCAACCCCTGCTTTTTTTTTTTTTTTTCATTTGCTTGGTAGATCTTCCTCCATCCCTTTATTCTGAGCCTATGTATGTCTCTGCACATGAGATGGGTTTCCTGAATACAGCACTGATGGGTCTTGACTCTTTATCCAATTTGCCAGTCTATATCTTTTAATTGGAGCATTTAGCCCATTCACATTTAAGGTTAGTATGTTGTGCGCGAGTCTGATCTGGTCATTATGATGTTAGCTGGTTATTTTGCCCATTAGTTGATGCTGTTTCTTCCTAGCATCAATGGTGTTTACAATTTGGCATGTTTTTGCAGCGGCTGGTACCATTTGTTTCTTTCCATGTTTAGTGGTTCCTTCAGGAGCTCTTGTAGGGCAGGCCTGGTGGTGACAAAATCTCTCAGCATTTGCTTGTTGGTAAAGGATTTTATTTCTTCTTCACTTATGAAGCTTAGTTTGGCTGGATATGAAATTCCAGGTTGAAATTTCTTTTCTTTGAGAATGTTGAATATTGGCCCCCATTCTCTTCTGGCTTGTAGAGTTTCTGCTGAGAGATCCACTGTTAGTCTGATGGGTTTCCCTTTGTGGGTAACCTGACCTTTCTCTCTGGCTGCCCTTAACATTTTTTCCTTCATTTCAACCTTGGTGAATCTGACAATTATGTGTCTTCGGGTTGCTCTTCTCAAGGAGTAGCTTTGTGGTGTTCTCTGTATTTCCTGAATTTATATGTTCGCCTGCTATGTTGGCGAAGTTCTCCTGGATAACATCCTGAAGAGTGTTTCCCAACTTGGTTCCATTCTCCCTGTCACTTTCAGGTACACCAATCAAACGTAGATTTGGTCTTTTCATATAGTCCCATATTTCTTGGAGGATTTGTTCATTTCTTTTTACTCTTTTTTCTCTAAACTTCTTGCTTCATTTCATTCATTTGATCTTCAATCACTGATACCCTTTCTTCCAGTTGATCGAATCGACTACTGAAGCTTGTGCATGCATCATGTAGTTCTCGTGCTGTGGTTTTCAGCTCCATCAGGTCATTCAAGGTCTTCTCCATGCTGTTTATTCTAGTCAGCCATTTGTCTAATCTTTTTTTCAAGGTTTTTAGTTTCTTTGCAATGTATTTGAACATCCTCCTTTAACTTGGAGAAATTTGTTATTACTGATTTTCTGAAGCTTACCTCTGCCAGCTCGTCAAAGTCATTTTCCATCCAGCTTTGTTCCAGTGCTGGTGAGGAGCTGTGATCCTTTGGAGGAGAAAAGGCTCTCTGATTTTTAGAATTTTCAGTTTTTCTGCTCTGGTTTCTCCCCATGTTTGTGGTTTTATCTACCTTTAGTCTTTGATGGTGGTCACCTACAGATGGGGTTTTGGTGTGGATGTCCTTTTTGCTGATGTGACGCTATTCCTTTCTGTTTGTTAGTTTTTCTTCTAACAGTCAGGACCCTCAGCTGCAGGTCTGTTGGAGTTTGCTGGAGGTCCACTCTAGACCCTGTTTGCCTGGGTATCACTAGCAGAGGCTGCAGAACAGCAAATATTGCAGAAAAGCAAATGTTGCTGCCTGATCCTTCCTCTGGAAGCTTCATCTCAGAGGGGCACCTGGCTGTATGAGGTGTCAGTCGGCCCCTACTGGGAGGTGTTTCCCAGTTAGGCTACTTGGGGGTCAGTGACCCACTTGAGGAGGCAGTCTATCCATTCTCAGATCTCAGACTCCATGCTGGGAGAACCACTGCTCTCTTCAAAGTTGTCAGACAGGGACGTTTAACTCTGCAGAAGTTTCTGCTGCCTTTTGTTCAGCTATGCCCTGCCCCGAGAGGTGGAGTCTACAGAGGCAGGCAGGCCTCCATGAGCTGCAGTGGGCTCCACCCAGTTCGAGCTTCCTGGCCGTGTTGTTCACCTAGTCAAGCCTCAGCAATGGCGGACACCCCTCCCCCAGCCTGGCTGCAGCCTCAGAGTTCGATCTCAGACTGCTGTACTAGCAGTGAGTAAGGGTCCATGGGAGTGGGATCCTCCAAGCCAGATGCGGGATATAATGTCTTGGTGTGCCATTTGCTAAGACGATTGGAAAAGCGCAGTATTAGGGTGGGTGTGTCCTTATTTTCCAGGTACCATCTGTCATGGCTTCCCTTGGCTAGGAAAGGGAATTCCCTAACCGCTTGAGCTTCCCAGGTGAGGTGATGCCCCACCCTGCTTTGGCTCACACTCTGTGGGCTGCACCCACTGTCCAACAAGTCCCAGTGAGATGAACCCAGTACCTCAGCTGGAAATGCAGAAATCACCTGTCTTCTGCGTCACTCACACTGGGAATTGTAGACTGGAGCTGTTCCTATTTGGCCATCTTGGAACAAAAGTCTGAAGTTTTTATATACTAACAATGGAAGGTAACCTCCTTAAATAATTGTAATGGGAGTGAGAGATTAAATAATTATGATAAGTAGGCTTCTGATTATGTAACAGTAGTCCCTGCTCAAATATCAAGTAAATCTCAGTGCTAGAACTAAAGATACATTCATGACAACATCAGGGCTTGCTACAGGCAGAAGGTGCCTATGGAAGGTAGTGGGAAGCTGGAACACCTGCTAAAGAGGGGCTTCAGCCACCTCAGGTGCCCCATGGAAGCAGGGATCTTGAGACACTGGGGAGTCTCTGGATTGATGGAGGAATTGCTCAGGAACCAACCACAAATTGTTTTTACCCAAAGATGGAGCCTGAGGGAGCACCAGTGGTATTCTCATTACACTGCAAACAATAGCTAAGCCTTGACTTTCTTTTTGCTCCCCTTCCCCAACTTCAGGATGGGAAGAACTGATGAAGGAGTCTCTCTAAATGCTTAGAGTGAAAGCATTATCTGAATTCCACATTGATGATGCACTTTCAATAGTAGTTTTAAATCAGGCTCAGGTTAACACACGGCAAGTCAATGAGGTAATGACTAAGATACAAATGCACCATTCTCAAGATCCATGAAAAATCACCTGTATTCCTCCCTCCCTCACTCTTGCTTACAGCAGCAATTATGCCAGCCATTCCCCCAACCTCTTTCCTCACTCCTCACTTCCCACTCTCTCCAGAGAGTTGCTCTGTTCTGATACCTTTCTCAGAATGATCTTATTTCCTGGCTCTGCTCTTGCAAGATACTCTTTTCTTCTGACTTAGATTAGGGAGAAAGAAGGAGTAAGGGTTTTGTGAAGCCAAAAAATGAAGGAGGTTCTGTTACATACATAGTAGTTGACCTGATACAAGGCAAAGAAGAAATAAGTCCGATAAGCTGCTAGGAATAAGGAATTTCAGATCAGAATCCACTCTTCCTGACTATGGAAAGGGGAAGCGCCATGCATCAAAATGTATGATGATTGCATGCCCATTGTGTTGGCACAATAAAGCCTGCCTGTTGAAGCAATGGAGTCATGGTGGGTGGCTCTCTCTCTCAGAGAGAACACTGCAATGGGAAGAGAGCAGGCTTTGGAAATGGTCACACCCATGTCAGAAATCCAGTTCTCATGGCTGTTCGATATTGTATATTCATGCAGTCAGCCATTTATTACCACAAGACACTTTCCTAAAGCATCTGCTGTGTGTGGATTCCTTGGGACTCGTTGATCCAGGAGACTACTGCTGCCCTCAAACAACTCTTAGCATGGCGGGGGAGATGGATATTGTGGCAAATAACACCACTGCAGTGTGACTAGCATAAAGGATAGACACATGTGGAGGTCTTCCTGTGATCATGTGCTGAAGGAACGCCCTTCACTGAGGCAGAAATAGAGGATGAATGTGGGCTCATTGACTGCACATTGGGCTGAGTGGAGGACATGCCAGGTGTGTGTTAATCCATGGAGGACGGGATGGCAAGTTGCATCTGAAGGAGTGTGAATTGTTCCACATGAGCTTAGCATGGGGTGGTGGTGGGAAAAAGTGGGAGGTGAAGATGAAAAGGCAGACAGAGGCAAGAGCATTAGATCATGGAGGGCCTTATAAGTTATGCTAAGGAGTTTATATTTTATCCTACATACAATGAGACATGATCATATTT